AAAAAAGAGAAAACAAAATATGGCTATAGATTTTGTTAAATGCTAAACATTTATATAAGCGATGTACTTTCAATTAAAAATGAGAACAAAATGTGAAGTCATTGATTTTCCCGATGTTTGTTTATATGCAAGTCTCGTACTGTGGTTCAATGACTCCGTGCTGTGGGGTGATGGTAAGGCAGTGAGCTGGCCAGGACAGCTCAAAGCTCAGCTCTCTGTTCGAGCGGTTCAGTATCTGCACATGTCTGGTGTCAGCCACACTGTCTGCAAATGAACAAGCAGAAGACAACATTTGGAGGGGGAAGCATTCACTTGCTAAGTGCATTTTCTTTGAGTCAAACAACATTCATTAAACCACCTGAGGTCATTTTTAATATCACATTTTTAAACTCAAATGTGTCTTACTGATAGTGGGTGCAGTGAGAACCAGCTGTTCAGGCTTGATGCTCCAGGTGTTCTCTAGGTTCAGCTCTGTTTGTTTCAGCACAGGTTCTGATGGACTTAATGGAGGACCTTTGACTGGTAGCACATCCAGGGAAACATTACTGATGTAGCGGCCCGATGACCCCAAACCGCTGAGTAGAGAACTACACATTAACTTCATCAGCATGCTGAAATCTGAAAGCATTAATTTCTGTTCAGTATGTTGTTCATTGAGGATGTTTACCTGTCTGATTCAGAGGTGTGCCGTTGTGAAGGTCTGACGGACTCCATATGGTCACTCTCTCCAGAGTCTGACATTTCCATAGTGCCAAATAGCGACAGCATAACTTTGCTCATGTTGCCATAGAAAATCTGGGCTTCATTTGGCCTTTGAGGCAGATCATAGGCTGAAAACAAATAAAGCCACAATCAAGGTCAGTTAATTGATTAAACTAATTCATTTTGAGCAAATCCTTGCCATCTTACCCTCCTGAACCTGCGCCTCTCCAAGGAACATTTCATCAAATGGGATACTTTTTAATAAGCTGTTCTCAGACAGTAATTTATTCCCTGCTTCTGGTTTGATTTGTAGTAACCTTGAAAACAGAT